TATATAGAAAATAGTATTACTGTACCATAACTGATTGGAAGATAGATCGTTTTAATGTAGTTTAAGTATCTTGAAACTAGATAGTTTCCATATAGTTCAACTATCTAGAAACTGGATAGTTTCTGGATATTTTTAGTGTCTAGAAACTGTCTATCTAGATTATTTCGAACGATCAGGACAGTTATACTATCTAGTTTTTAGATACTTGAAATATTTTGTAACTGTTCAGGTTCTAGATACTTGAACTATATGGAAACTATCTAATTTCTATATTTTTTAATTTTTGTCCATCGTAGATCGGATGATGTTGGTCCTATCAAAAAGTGCCCTGCATACATTTTTTGTAGAGCACTTACTATTATTAATTCTTTTCTAATAATTTCAATATTATTTTATCACAATATTTACAAGAATTTAAAATTCTTTCAACATATTCTTGTAAAAATAACAATTAATCATTTCCCGTCAGCTATAGGGCGCACTTTTTAACGGATTCAAATTAAATGATTCAATCGTGGATTAAAGGTCAAAATGATGTTGAAATCCCTGCTAGAGGGAAGCGATGAATACGCACTTGATAAAATGAGTCGACAAAGAGAGGGTTGGGGAGAGAAAAACATGGCGAGTGAACGCACAAGAAAGAAAGAGATAGAGGGGAAGGGTTTGGAGTCGCTCACGGTTTGGAATGCTTTGAAAGGCCGCGAGCGATTCTTGGCTAGAGTTTTGCTTGATTCTGCTGGCCGCGAGTTGCTCAGGACCTGGACCATCTCACAGGGAAGAAAGATGCAAAGAATTAGAGTGAGTGAGAGAGAAAAAAGATGAGAGGGGGGGGGGGAGAATTTGTGTGAGAGAGAAAAAGAGAGTGAGGAGAAACACTAGTGGTGGGAGATAAAGAGTGGGATGCAGGGAATCTGAGGTCGTCCTGACTTGCTTCAATTAATTACCACATTGTCGTCGTCCTCCTCTCGACGCTAGATGTTCCGCCATGGTAATCCCTGGGGGAGATATACCCCGCCTTGATTTAATCTCCAATAATTTTTTTTTCCGCGTAAGTCCCTTGTATATACGTCGCACTTACCGTCCCTTTTTGCAATTGATTCTCACGATACAACTCTCACAACTTGAGAGTACTTCTTATATATATATATATATAAGCGTGTAAAGTACATGCACTTTCATCAAATGATTAAACGAAAAGTGAAAAACAGGTTCCTTGAAATGGAAAGAAAAACGAGGTGTCAGCAGAGAGATCTTCTCTCCTTTCAGTTTCTTCCTTTTATGTACCACGGTTTACACTCCGGTCTTTAGGGGAAAAATATATGAGACTGATTATAATTGTCAGCAGCAGCGATATCATCTCATTCTCTTTTAAAAGTGACTTGCTGTAGATTAAGATTTTATACTCGAGAGAGTGTATAGTTTTTCAGAATAGTTTCTTATTCTTTTTATTATCATCATTAAAATTGTTTTGATTCATTATTAACTCTTTCTCTCTCCCACAATTTTCTTGATAATTTCTGATTGGTTAATTTTTAAATTCGGGCCGAAATCTTTCTGTTCGATCATTTACAATTTAAAATTAACCGATCAGAAATTATCAAGAAAATTGAGGAAGTGGAATTAGAAAAAGTGGAAGTGAAAATTGTATAAAAAATTTGGATCTTTTGTTTTTTAATTGACCTGCGGGAACTAATTCCTAATATATATAGAAGAAGTAGAATAATTCTTGAATATAATTTAGTCTCCCAAAAGAATCTCATTATCTATATCAAGAAGTTGGTCTGTCGTCGGAAGAGAAATGAAGGTCGCATCATAAATTGCAATAAGGCAAGACGAAGTAAGAACACTGTCTTGGATGCATGCTCATTCTTCAAGGAAGTGACAGTAACGTCCGCGCCTCTCATAGATGTCTTGACCTCGGAACCTTTCAGGGTCTTGTTAAGGATGTGAGGTGAGACGAAAGCTGGGAATATATACATAAAGGAGGCTCCAACGTGATCTCGATAAAAAGATCCTTTTCGCAGGTGCGAAGTTTTGTGACTATCTCATAAATTTGTGATAATTTTTCTTTCATCGTCATCACTTTTGTCAACTGCAGCAGATGCATTAGCAATCATTTGGCTGGAACTTTTCAGTTTCATTTCAACAAGTCAGAGAATCTGATGTACTACTCCAAGGAATGTCGGGTCTCAGTTTATTAGAGCAGATGATGATAGCATCTCGCAAGGCGTAACCTGTTTCTTTTCTGTCGTGTTCTTTCTGTTATTCACTTCTTCCTATTCCACTTGACTCTTGTTTTTATTTTTTTTCTCACATTCTCACTCATAAATGAGAAGCATATCGTAGTCTAAAGAACCTTTTTTTCTTATTTTTGGAAAATTAGATATATTAATATCTAAAGCTATATTTTCTTCTCGCATTTTCTTTAAAGCATTTATCATCATCCTTTTCGTCGCTGTATGATGTGGAGAAGAAATTGGTTAGGCGGGAGATTTCATAGTGGCAATATATACTCTGTCAACGGAGAAGAACTCGGAAGCAGAAAAGCGTTGAAGAGACGAGAGGCGTTGTAAAGTGTATAGAATGACAAAGTTCTCCACTTTGGTGTCAAAAGGATTGACTCAGGGGTCAGATTATAATTCATACACGTCGTCCATATGTCCAGGTGATTTATATTTTATTCACGGTAGTATGAACAACAATGGCTACTGGGAATTTCTCTATCTGCGAGCTTCCACCTCTTTCATCACGATGTGTGGAGGTGGTTGCCATGCCGACGTGCTTCTCTCATACCAGATGTGTTATTATCAGAAAAGGAGAGAAAGAGAGAGAAAGAGAGAGCCATAAAACTGTTTTACATATTTTGTAAATACATTGAAAATAAAAAATAATTACTCGTAATATTAAGAGATATTTAAGAGGTAAATCGAATTATTTAGATGTAAGATAAAAAAAAATTCGACTTGGAGAATTAATTTAGACTTGTACATTGCCATTGTCACAAAAACGCAGCCATCCACGAGTGTGTCCAAAAATAGCTCTACACCAAAAATAGTTTGCGATGCAAAGAAGCCTGCACTCGTCGAAAAGATTTAAGCAGAGAAAAAGCGAACCCTTATCGTATCGCAAACGTGCGTGCGTCCTTCTTGAGAAATAATGGAGGCTCTTCATCAAGATCTCTTTTTGGTATACAAATCTCACTCCAAAATATTTGGATATCATTAAATTTTATAAGTTTTCCAGTTTCTTTAGATTACTTTCTACAAAATGATTAGCAATTATTATTGTTAAAAATATTCACTAATTAATATAAGTCTATAGTGTGTAAATTGTAAACAGTAAATATAGGCAGTACTAGCAACAGTTTAGTAATTTTTCGTAGGGGCGACATATAATATAAAAGTTATTGGGAAAATTCAATTAGAATTCGGTGACCTGACGTGGCATTTGCAGCACTAAGATTTAATGAATAGCAGGCATTACATCCTATTTGGTCTCATTGCGACCGACCGTGACGATGCTCAGCATAGCATAGCTCTTGCGCTATTTGCAGTCCAAACCGAAGAGGATGGGGGATACAATGGACGCCGACGTCGAGCGTCGCTATGTGCTCAATGAAAACTACCCAAGCCATTGGCGTATTCCAACAACTACAACTCCTACTACTACATATTATAATTTCAACAAATTTTTTCTTTCTCACTCAAAAAAATATTTCTTTGAATCAAACAAGTATTTCTTTGATATAGGGTGTCACCTCCACAAGATTATTACCATGAAATGTTGCTGCAGGCTTACAATGAAAGATTGCTGCAACCTTAGCAACCTGGCATGGTAATTTTACTAAAACTTTATCTCAAAAGCTTTTATGTTGTCTGTGCTATTTTAAATAATTTTGTTTTGTTTTAAAATTTATAAATTTCAAAATGGTGGACCAAGAACCTCTATACGGGTAATTAACCTTTCGAGCGAAATTCACAGTTACAAATGAACTCAGCATATTTCGTGAATTCATTGGGGGCTAATTCCTTTATTTTGGTATAGGGTTCATCGAAAAAAGAAAGAATATGGAATGTGAACTGTAAATTTTCTCCTCAGCTGTCAACATACTCGAATTTTTGAGTAAAGATTTATAAATCCCGCCGGAGTTGCAGTTTTGGCGCCACTGCAAATACCGTGTGTGTCGTTTAATCGCATCTCTCTCGAGGTGCGAGGAGATTACAAGTGAATCTGCGTTAGGCGTGTTTCAAGATCCGCGAAGGCAACGACTCGCTCAGTTCTGGGCATTCCTTGAATAGCTGGATCATTTAGCCGCTTTGCATCATCGGCGACTGTCGTCGTCGTCGTCGTCGTCGTCGTGTGGCACTTGTACACGCGAGAGGGTATAAGCGAGAATAACTCGAAAATTTAAACGATATATTTCCTAAGCAATTTCTAGCCTTAAACACTCGCTACGGAAATGTCTCGTTGTCTTTTGATAAGTTTAATCTTGACATAGATCACAAGAAAAGCAATTTTCTGCGCCAAAATTTTTAAGTGCTATTATTTATAAGACTTTAATTTATAATTAGAATTTGTATTAAATATAGAGTGATATTAAAAATTATGTATAATATTAAAATGTATATCAAAATGTATAAAAAAAAGAGAGAATTTTCTCTTTTAGAAACAAAATCTAAAAGGTTACGCCATTGTCGGAGATCCATAACCTCAGTTATATGGTTTCAATCTCCTCAGGAGCATTATGGTTATGCTGTTTTCCCATTAAGGTTTATGTCGTCGAATTTACGAGATTTCCGATAACTTTTATCGTCCCTCTTGAAATCCAAATTTCCTGGCTTATTTCAGTTAACAGGCTCTTCCGCTTGTTACAAAATTTTAATTGAAAATTATACTATTAAATTTTCAATTAGTTTTAAAAATATGTGGAAATGATATACATATATATGAAATATAATAAAATTTCAATTCTTACAGAATTGTTTGCCTTTTTTTTTTAGTTAAATGTTCACCAAAGATCCTTGGAGGCAGCAGGACTTGAACTCTGCGGAGCAGGGGGTAGTATTCCTCAAGGTCAACCAAGTAGTACTGGTTCAATAGGGTCAGCACCAAGTCCAGCGTCTCCAAGACCAACACCCCAAACAAGAGCACCACTTGCAACCTCCACTTCCCAGTCTTCAAGGACCCTCGACGATGATAGATCGACGGACGGTAAACTTATTTTTCTCAATTTAAAATATGAACGTAAAAAATACTTCCTCTACGAAGGAAATATTTGCGACTAAAGCTAATTTTTTAGAATTCTTTAGAATATTTATTTTTGCAGAAAAAAAATTGTACCGAATTTTAATTTTACAGAATTATAATTTTTTTTCTGCAAAATTAAGATTCCATTAAATTACTGTTCTGAAAAAAATCTATAGAATAAACTTTGTATTAAATTATTATTCTAAAAAATTAGTCTCCCATATTTTGAAAATCGCAATTTTTTTTGGGATAAATAAAGATAAGAATTAAGAGGTAAATTAGGATATGAAGAGGCTTAATTATTTCAGCAGTAGGTGGTGGAACAGCAGCGGAAGATTCGGATGATGGTGAGAGTAGAGCACAATATGTTAGTGCAAATTGTGTGGTTTTCACTCATTACCGAGGTGATGCGGCAACCGAGGTAGACGAACATTTTCATAGAGCCCTCCAGCAGGATAATAAACTAAAAGGTGAGTTTTTCATTTCTTTCTATTTTTGCGATATAGTATTTGGAATTAAACATTTTTTTTTTAGTGATACAAAAAAGGATAAAAAAGAATATTAATTTTTTTAGTGATTTATAATTGAAAGTGACAAATTTTGTTTGATTGCTACAACAAATCTCTGTATTGTAACAATATATTTGTTACAACAAATTTTTAGTTGTTACAACAAAATTATATTTTTTCTTGCAACAAATATTGTTGTAGTAACAAATATATTGTTAGTGTAATAATACAGATTTGTTGTAGCGACCAAACAAAATTTAGTTATATATATACAACAATTCATTTTTCTCCGTATGCAGTATTCGTTGAATTGGGTATAGTGTGAAAATCGATCTTAGGATAAAATGAAATTTCTCACGGGCGGGAAGATAAATGCATGGGCTTGTTGAAGGAATCAAAGCTGGTCAGGATTTCAGGGTCCCCGACTCTCGATGTAATAAAGTGCGCCATTAGCCACGACAACGCTAACAAGCACCGGAACAATTGTTCCGCCGTCGTGCATCAAGAGTTAAAACTCGAGCTGCTTGAACGAAGTAAGAACGTATATATATATATAGGAAGGGGGGAAGTGAAGGGAGATCGCAGGGTGTTGCGGAGAGTTTGGCAAGCGATCAGCCTCCCGGCTATATCGGTGTCGTTTAAGGCCACATTTATCCCAACGTTACTCAGGATCAGTTCACTAGCCTGCTTAGAATTCAAGACAACACGACCTAATTGTTATGTGCCTTCTTACCTTCTCTTCCTCCCTCCTTCTTTCTCTTTAACCCCCTGCTTCTTTTTTTTTAACCATCTCTTTTACCCCTCTGCTCCTTTTTTCATCATCTCTTTCTCTTCTACCCTCCTTGCTCCTTTTTCACTATCTTTTTCTCTTTTTCCCTTAATACTCCTTCTACTATCTCTTTCCCTTTATTTCTCATTTCTCCCTCTTACTCTCGCCACCTCGCGGTTTACTCCGCAACAAACTGACACCATGGTGGGGTAAGAGAGGTAAATTAAGAGCTTCTCTTGCCTACGAGAAAGCAGTGCAACTCGCACTCAAAGAGAGAAAGAGAATGGGCGCGAGAATTTGTGAGACGATTTTAGATCTGGAATGTCGAGTAAGCCACTATACAAGGACAGAAGTAGATGACTACTGTTTGTATATATATATATAAATATAAGGTATTCCTGAAAGAGAGGCCACAAGGTCTCTTTGATTGGGACAGGTGCCATGGCGAAAGCTTATACGATATCATTGTGAGAAAGTCCATGGAATTATCGAAAGGTCAATCGATCTTGCTTCAATGAGAAATAACTTTTGCTAATAATGATCGTGTTGATCAAAATGTCACTTTACCTTATTTGTGTAGTTATCATTACATGCGAAGATTTTACAAACCAGAAATGCCAATTTATATATATACACAGGATGTCAATCTTATACAGATTTCTAAGGCGATAATATGATTGCGTTTCTTTGTTGGATAATTTTGCTTCCTAAACTTTTGAATTAATCTAGACGCACTAGATAGTTTCCATGTTGTAAACCATCTAGAAACTAGATAGTATCATTATCTTGACCTATCTAAATAATCTAGATGCACATACATAGTTTTTAGATACTAAAACTATGTTGAAACTATCCAGTTTCTAGATACTTAAACTATATGGAAACTATATCTAGTTTCCAGATACTTGAACTAAATGTAAACTATCTATATACTATTCTATATACTTTAAGTATATAGAAACTAGTTAGTTTCAATTTAGCTCACTTATCTAGAAACTAGATAGTTACAATATAGTTTAAGTATCTAGAAACTTGTTGGTTTTAGCGTTATATTTCTATTTAGTTTCTATTCAGTTACGGTAAAGTTATCATATTTTCTATGTCGCCACTGTATAGTTGAAGTATACAGAAACTAGATAGAGATATAACTCTACGACCAACAAGTTTCTAGATACTTAATCTAGATGGAAACTGTCTAGTGCATCTAGATTATATAAAGACCAGAACAGTTATATTATCTAGTTTCTAGATACTCAAACTATATTGAAACTATCCAGTTTCTATGTACTTTAAGTAAATTGAAACTAGATAATTGGGATGTAGTTTAAGTATCTTGAAACCAGATAGTTTCCATAGAGTTCAAGTATCTAGAAACTGGATTGTTTAAATATAGTTTTATTATCCAGAAACTAAATAGTTTCAATATAGTTGAAATCTCTAGAAACTTGTTGGTCGTAGCGTTACATTTCTAGCTAGTTTCAATATAATTCAACTACACTCTATATAGAAAATAGTATAACGTATGTGAAATATTTCTACACAATTTTATGGATACTCACTAAAAAATTTTGTCAAAAAATAAAACGCAAAGAATTCAATTGTCAGGCGCATATCATATAGAAACTGGAAAAGTGCCAGTGAAGCTAGACCATAAATAAACTACAAAGGAACTGTTTGCCTCTTTCACTTTATCATTCTGTTCATGAAATATTTATAAACACGAGGGCTCGACGTCATTACTCATAATCACTGATAGAAGATTGCGACTGATGAGAGAATGGTGAATAGCTTGAGAAGATGGTGTCACTAAAGTGATAGTTCGAAATGATAAAATGATATACCCGGGAGTTGTTTCTCATTGAGGCATAAATATTTGCAGTCGAGCATAAATATCTTGTCGCGTGTGTGCACAACTAACTCCTCTTTCCTTCCATATAGTTGAGTTGAGCTATATCAAAACAAGTATATAATAACGTTGAAGCTGGGAAATTGAGCATATCGTTCTGCTCGGTGGCGTCAAATTAACGCCCAGCGGGAAACTCATCGCTTCTTTTTTTTTTTTCTTTTTTAACTTCCTTTTTTTCAATTCTTCACTTTCTATCTGACTCCTCGTCACTCATATAAGAATCTTTCTTTCTTTCTCATTTACTCTCATTTCGCGTCTTTCTATGGCAGGAGTGCTGCAATTACTTGACATGTGGACGCCACGGCGTCTTCAAAGAGACACTTCGGCGACAACGCTCTAAATCCGAATAACAAGCCATCCAGTCGTAGCGCCACATCAATCTGCCTCTGGGTTATACATTTTGACGAATCGCAGTCTTGCTTCCATCCAGACGTCTTCATAAATGTAATTTTCCTTTTAACGATTTAATATTCCATCGAAAACTCCGTATTCTTCAGAAATATATATTTTTATTTAGTAAAATTTCAAATTTTACTATCTAATTAGGAATTAAATGTTTTATTTCATAATTGCAACATTGTATATATTTAAATATACATTTGTGAAATAAAAAGAGAGGAAATAAAAATTAATTTACAATGTGAACAATCGTAAAATCCACATGCAAAGTATTCCGGTATTATATTTTTCTAAATTGAATAAGAGATCAGATTAGATAAAACCTAAGGGGTAGACTAAAGCAAAGTGATAAAATATAATTGATAGTTGAGAATACAAATTAAACCAGTTCTTGATCGTTTTCATCTTCGATTCCACACTATCTTATAAGCATTCGTGGTTTATGCATCATATAAAAAAAAAAAAGTGATCAGAAAGAACGTCTTCCGCGTTCATCTCGATCCAGTTTTATTATTTTTGCTGTTTATATATATATTTGCATATACACACACATACTTATATGTATGTAAGTTGCGATGCTGTGAAATGGTCCATTAATCCTAGAAGTCTTGACTCTGGCTTATCGAGGGACATCTGTCGTGGTTGACCTTCGGCGAAGAGGTCCCGATGTAAACGTCGATCTACGGGAGATCAGCTTGAACCTCTCGGACTATACCTCTCGACTTCTTTTCCTTCTTCTCTCAGCATCTCAGTTGTACAGATTCACCTCTCCTCCCGTATACATATATATAGATATATTTTCTGCTCGTATATATATACGAGCAGTCCCACAACACACACCGCGGCATCGCAGGGCCTTGGCCACAGAAGAAAGCCGACTTCGAGGCCCCGACACTCTGTTTCTTTAATTGCGTTAATAAATAAAGGACAGTCGGCCGAGCCTAGAACTTTCAGAGGCAACGGAGAGAAGCAGAGGGAGAGGAAACAGGACAGAGATGTGAAACGAGAGGGGAAAGATTCGAAAGAGGAAGAGATGAAACGATTGTAAAGGGCAAAAAAAGAGGAATCGAGAGAGGAGAGTCGATGAATAGGAGAGAAGGAGAAAATGGTCTAGAAAGAGGATTCTTTTTTTAGTTTTTTTTTTTTGTAAATCGGTTCTATTTTTATAAATTTTTGTTTTATTCTTCTTCGAGACATATATAAAGAGAATTTTTTTTAAAAATAATAAAGAAAAAAAAATAGATGGTCACAATATTGCGAATATTACACGACAATATTGCGAATATTGCACGGCAATATTGAGACAGTATTGTAATATTGAGGTAACATTGAGGCAATATTGTAACGTTATTTCCGCCTTGAGGTAATATTGCCAGGCAATATAAGGAAACGTTTTCTGGTAATATTGAGGCAATATTGCGACAATATTTCCCATATTTGCATAGTTCTATTTTAATTTTATGCAAAACAAAATTGTCGCAATATTTTCTCAATATTAGCGGATATATAATCAGCGTTAACAGCAATATTTCAGAGCAATGTTGACTCAATATTACATGACAGTGTTGTGAATATTGCGCGGCAATATTCCCGTAAAACAGACATAATATGTTGCTGCAATATTGCCATGCAATATTGCCTTAATATTGCCATGCAATATTAATGTAATATTGCCGTGCAATATTCGCAATATTTTCACATAATATTGATGTAATATTTCCGTGCAATATTCGCAATATTTTCACGTAATATTGCCGTGCAATATCCGCAATATTTTCACGTAATATTGATGTAATATTGCCGTGCAATATTCGCAATATTTTCACGTAATATTGATGCAATATTGCCGTGCAATATTCGCAATAATGTGGCCCTATTTGAAAAACAGAAAGAAGCAAAATTAAAAATTTGAAAATGTAATAAATACTGATAAATTAGCGGACGATTGAAAAAAAGCAGAAGGGAATCAGAGACAATTAGCCGATCAGTGTAGTAAGAAAGAGAAACAAAATTCGCAAAAAAAAAAAAAAAAAATTAATGTGATGAAAAGGTATTAGAAAAAAATGTCGAATGTAAGAAAGAGAGAGAGAAAGCTGTCTGGAGAATAAGGAGAAGATTGAATATATAGCAGAATATAATTCGGGACAAGGGGCAAAAGGGGATAATCGAAACGGATGAAGGCAGATGTGTTATCTAGCATCTCGTGAGCAAATCGCAATATTTAACGCGATAGTTAGTTTCCGACCGTTTGTGTGTTTTTATTTTATTTTATTTTTTTTTTTGAAGGAGCGAGAATGAGTTTTGGTCTCGTGCAACCAATTCCCTTTTGGCCGTGAGCAGTTGCGCGGTGGACATGCGGCCCAAGAAAAACATATTTTAGAAGGACCCCGAGTATAAGGGGACTTCCCCGCCTTTTATGCCGCATGCGGCATGGCATTCCATCCGTGGGAAACAATGCGGACTGGCTTCTTTATACGGCAAATGTGTCGTGGGTGGGTGTTATGGGGCGCTCTTCGATACGCGCGTTCAAATTACAATATCGGAAAGAGGCCCCCATATACGACAATCGCCAACACAATCCAAATGGTCCCTTCTGCGGCGGGTGAGACCCCAAATGAATTTTCTCTTTCCGCCGTTACTTTGTATATATCTTCATTGCGCGACAACGTCCCACTCTTACTGCCTTTTTCTACTTCATATATATCTATACCCGTGTGGAAATGGCCCTGTTTGGCCCTGATAATAACAAGGCATTAGAGAGTCCCTGGCCAGTTTTTCTAGATTAATAAAAAAATATATAAATACAAGTTTTTAATAACTTTTTTTTCCAATACCGTTGTTAACTATTAATAAATATCATTATTTAACGGTTATTACAATTTTTTTTTTCATGGCGTTTACCAGAAATTCTGTTGAAGCCCTTATAAGGGCATTTACCAGTGTTACTTGTAAACGCCTTTCCAAAATGTGCGGTGTTTAATAGAATTTCTGGTGAGTGCCTTTAATAAGGCTTTCACCAGAAATACTTGTCAATGCCTTAAAAAAATTCTGGTCAAAGCCTTTAAAAGGGGTTTTACCAGAAATACTCGTCAATGCCGTATAAAAATTCTGGTCAGAGCCATTAAAAAGGCTTTTAACAGAAATACTTGCCAACACCAAACTAGAATTTCTAGCCAATGCCCTAAATGGGGCTTTTACCAGAAATACTGGCTCACGCCACATAGAATTTTTCGCCAAATCCCTTAATAGGGCTTTCACCAGAAATATTAACTAACGCCATATAGAATTTCTCGCCAGAGCCCTTAATAGGGCTTTCAATAGAAATACTTATCAATACCATACAGATTTTTACCATAAATTCTCGGCAACGACAGAATAAAAGAAAAAGAGACGAACTGAGTCGTCTTCGTGTTAGAAGATGTCGAATGAAACAAAAGTTACACATTGAGAAGCTTATTTTCTTAAGTATTAATATGAATAATAAACATGAAACATTTTATTAGTTAAATGGTTTGTCACCTGTTTTTGGCTCAACCATAAAATTAATTTTTTGTTATTTTAAATACTTAAAATAATATAATTTCATTTCGAATAGGAGTAGTATAATTGCATCTGGGAAATCCCAAAAATTTGCTACAAACATGTGACATATTGTAAGAAAGACCCCATAAAACGATCCATACCTGCAAAGAATCTAAATAACTTAGGGTTTTCATTTTCTTAAAGGATGAGATAGAGAGAGAGAGAGGGGGGAGGGTTTACATGACCTGTCTTTTAAAAGTACACTTTTCTCCAAAGTGAATTCTATACGACCTCCGATATGGTCGAGCGGTTTAAAGCGTCCTTGCGTTATCCAAACTTGCGTTGCGATATTGTGTTAGGGGTTCGAATCCCTGCGTTAGGAATTTTCTGAATATATGTATGTTTGTATGTAAGTATAACTGTGTACATAGAATGTTAATGTTGACTCTTAAATAATAATAAACATAAATGTGCATAAAATTCCTGCCTTCAAATAAAAAAAAGTTAAAAAAAATTAAATAATAACTAATTTTTAAACTAAAATATTATTTTGTTGAAATGAGTACTCTGAATCTATTTTTTAATTCTATCCTTGTTTAAATTATAAATATATTAATATTTTTAATAAGTTAATATTAATGTAATTAATTTTTTATAAATTCATGAGAAAGATTATGTAACAATTAATTTTAATTTATTTATTTAAAACTTTGTTGTAAAAACGAAAAGGCTTCTACTAAAAAAAGAACAAGGCTTTCTCCAGAAAAACATGCCAGGCACTGGCCAGTTTCCCCTTTTAAAGGCATTCCCCAAAACTAGCATTACAGCCTGTCCAGTTACTGGCCGATATTACTGCCCAGTCCCTTTCTATTCACAAGGCAGATTGGCCAGGGCCTCTCTAACGCCTTTTGAAGATTTCCACACGGGTATAGCATACTTCTTTTTCCCTCTTACAATTTTTTCGAAATCGTTTCTTCAATTTTTCTTTAATTTAAAGAAAATTTGATTTAAAAAGAATATTGTTTAATTTAAAGAAATACCCTTTTTACAATTTCAAACAAAATTTTATTTAGAAGAAAAAAATTTTTTTTATATCAAATAAATTTTCTTTAAATTAAAGAAAACATTTTTTTGACTCTATATATCAAAGAAATATTTGTTTGATTCAAAGAAACATATTTTTCTTGTTGTAAAGAGAATATACGCGGAGAGGATGTTAAATGAACTTTCGAAATTGCGTTTACGATTCGAGTAGATTGGCGAGTATATATAAGAGGTTTTGAGAAAAGAAAAAAAAATAAGAAGAAAGAAGAGGAATCTCGAAAGCAATGACATGGGATACGCAAGACAAGCTTCTGGCTTCAGAGTGGTCCCTTGTAAAACATCCACGCGGTACCCTTCTGTCTCAGTGAGCGTTTCCGTGGGATCGCCTTGTTCGACTATTTTCATCGGGGTTTTAAAATCGAAATCCGCATTTTTCAGAAGTCTCCTCTCGCGAGCATCGATCCCTTTCACATAAATCAATCTAGCGTTAAGATCATGGTCCTCGAATAGTAAATACTCCCAAGATGTAAATAACTGTGAGAGAGAAATCTCAATGGCAATCAACACGTTTGTTCTTTTTTTTTCTTCTTTTTTCTTCGCTAGAAGACGAAAATTTATTTTTGAATCCTTTTATCTCTTTTTTTTAAATTATTGTTTTGTATTTAAAATGTGCAATGATTTTTTATTTTATTTTTCAGAAAATATTTCTCCAATGAACATGAGAAATTTCCCTCCGTCCTTTTGGAAAAGTCATCACACTGGTGAGGTTTATGAATACCCGACGGATCCATGGCATCCTCATTATCCCCAATATCATCATAGGTTTGTACAATAATTAATCATTTTCTTTTTAACTCTTCAAAACTCAAAAAAATATTTGTTTGAATCAACCAAATATAGTTAATTTGGTTCAATCAAATTTGTTCTTCCTTCGAAAAATTTATTGAAATAAACACTAACGTTTATTTAGATTAAACAAATATTTATTTGAAGCAAAAACGAATTTTGTTTGAAATAACCAAAAAAATTTAAATTAATATTTGTTTGATCTAAATAAACGTTTTTGGTTTATTTCAATAAATTTTTTGAATGAAGAAAGAATTTGATTGAACCAAATAGAATAAAATGTAAAATAAAATTTAATAGTAAAATTTGTCAACCAACTATAGGTAAAAGAAGGAAATAAATAAATTTCTTTTTTCCTCTCTTTAGAGCTGTGCACGAATACCACCACCATAATATGGCGGCGGCAGCAAGTTACGGTGGTTTATTATTGGGTGGTGCTCGAGGACTTGGACACCATACAACCCACCATGCGGCGCATCACGCGCATGCCGCAGCATCCTACAAGGACTGGACGTCGGCGACGCCGTCGCAATCACTTGTCGATGCTTCTTCGGCGCCTCCTTATCCCCATGGTCCATATGCACCCTTATCTGGTGAGTATTGGACCTGAACTATTGGCCTCTACTCGCATATATTATTTTTAATTCAATTCGCGTCCTCCTATTTCTTCTTTATTTATTTATCCTCATTCTTTTATCCACTCAATCGTGACGTGACACTATTTCATACTTCATTTCTTTTACCCGTTTAATTATATTGATAATATAATTAATTAATTAATTCGATTATATAATTAATTATAATAAAATCGAGAAAAATAATTCTAAATTTTTTTTATTGTAAAGCAAAGAAATTAATTAATGGAAGATTAATTAATATTACAATTTATTATATAATATATTAAAAATATATAATATTATAAATTTAAAGAAAAAAAATTATTTGTCCGATTATTTTATTCAAATAAAATTTTTTCCCTATATTACACCCAGAAAAATGTTTTATTTGAAACAAAAATATAATATATTTGATTTAAATAAACGTATATTTGTCTCAGAGCCTAATAAATTTTTTATATTTGGCGTAAATAAACATTTTTTTTATGATAAATAAAATGTTTATTTAAATCAAGTAAAATTTATTTGCAACAAATAAAAATTTATTTATGTCTCTAAGACAAAAATATATATTTTCTCTGAGTGTAATTATTTACAACTTTGGTACAATTATTTTAATAATTATTACATAACATTAAATTATAAATGTTTAAAAAAAATTTTGCAATCAATTTATTAAGTAAATTCAAAGGGGAAATAAAAATATTATTTAGCGCGTAATGAAAAAAAATGTAATATATGAAAAGTATAGGATAATGTGTATAATGCGATATATATATATTAATAGTATTTTTAAGATATACTATTATTTTACGGTTTCAATTCAAGTTTACTAGTCAGAAAATATTTGAGAAAAACTTGTGTATTTAATGTAAAAAAAAAATGATAATACGTCACGATTGCGGCGGTAAAAATGAGATTTATGAATATTATATATATATATATAGTTTATAAGAAAAATGAGGCAATGCTATATATATATAGACGAATCAAGTGAAGAATTCTAGTTAAATTTGAATTATTTATAAAGGTATATTTCGTTTATTCATTTGTTACTTGATACAGTGAAAATATTTATTCGAATTCGAGAAAGTAATTTGTTATATACATATATATATATAAAAAAACTCTACGATAAATGATTTCAAGAAACTTGTGAAAATGAACGGAGAGAGAAAAAACAAATTTTTTTGAAGATTTAAAATGAAAAAAATTTATTATGATATAAAATTTAAAATTTAAATATAAAATAATTTTGCAATTATTTTCATTTTAAAGAATATTTTAGAAGTCTTTTCCTAAAAAAAAGAACTTTTATGATTTGCAAATAAAATTTCTTTTGTGTTTATTGGTTTTTTAATTGTATTTTTTTTCGATTATTATTTTTTATCCAAAGAGCAGTTTGGTTAAATCAACAATAAATTAGAAAAAAAAATTTACATAAAATTTGTGATTCAATTAAACTTGTTTTTTTAATAAAATTTTTTTAGTTAAAGATTTATGAATAACTTTATTAGTTGACTGAAACAAACTGTTTTCTGGGTGTATTTTTTTTTTTTTTTTTGCTTTTTAATTCACTAAAAATGTTAATTTTTATTAATTTGGAATTTTCTCAGTTTTTTTTTACTGTTTTAAACTTTATTTTGTAATTTTTTTCTTCTCCTCTTTATTTAATGCTTAATTTTCTCTCGATCTCACGTTCTGATCTTGAAATAAAATTTATAAAAAGGAAAAAAAAGGGGTTTGTGCCAACACCACCCCAGATTCAAACATGTAAATTGATTGTTTGTAATGATATATTATTTATAAAATAAAGATACCATTTACTACAGAAGAAGTCTCATTTGATTTTTGCCTTTTCTGGGGCGGTGTTGGCCCCTCTCCTACCTTTTTCCATATTAATCCTTTTTACTAACATTATTCGAGTCTATATATATTTGAAAAGAAAAGAGAAAGAAATAATCTTATTTTTAATTTAACATTAAATTTTATAAATTAAATTTCATATATCAATAACAAATAATGTTCTGTGAATATTCAAGTAACTAATGAATTTCCTTTTTGTTTTAAAAGTGAAATTTATAAATACCTAAAAATTATTTTTGTACTTTGCAAGTTTGAAGTACAAATTTTTGTAAAATTGAATCGAACCAAAAACGCATGACATATAACCTATCTAAAAAATTTATTTTACATTTTGAATTTCGCGCATATAAAACATTATATAGACATAATATATTATGACACAAGGAAGCTAGAAAATGATAAACTATATTTCTATTTATTATAATGTTTTGATTTGCATATTTCAATGTAAAAAGAATTTCACGGTGAAGGATTGTCATGTTTTTTGTTGTTGTTGTAACAAGTGTAATTATTTGAGAATGGGTCTATGTTTATTTCATGATTCATTTAAGCGCATCAGAGCACGTCTAATGGTGCCAAGTTTCCGACGCTCGGGTTGCTTTGATGTTCACATGGAAATTGAAACGTGCAAATAAACTTGTGTTAAAATTTTACAAGAATATTATGTATATACATATATATATAATATCGTTGAGCACATTTTATATTTTTATAAAGTGCATTTCCGATAAAAATATTATATACACACCATAAATGCATATATGAACTGATAATTATATAATTTCATCGCGTTATATGTTTATTCATTACTTTCAATTATAGATAAAAAATGAATAATTTGTTTGATAAAAATTGCTTATAAAATTAATCATTCCATTATTTTAATTAATTATCATCACGGGATGGGGTTAATATATATTATTAATAAAAGAAGAACGAATTTAATATAGAGTTCCACCTGAGTTTTTATAGTAATAATAATAGTAATTTAACTGTTTACACTGAAAAAAAATTTATTTGATTTAAATAATCGGTTAATTGACTATAAATATACACAGAAAATTATAAGGTATTAAAATATAATAAGCGTTGCAGCTTATTTTAATGCCTTTTAATTTTCTGTGTATTTATTTGTATTAAATAATTATTATTTTAGCCCAATTGAATATGATATTTGTTTCAAATACGCAGAAATTATTGTTTCAAATATATACAGTTTATTTAATTCAAATAAAAAATACTTTGTTTCAAGTAAATATTTATTTGATAATAGGTCAAGTAACCGATTATTTGAAAAAATTTTTTAGTGTAATAAATTTAGTAGAAAAATATTTGCAGTTATATAGGGAAAATTTTGAGAAATTTTTGCCAATATCCAAAGACAAGCACTACTGCGAACTATATGTACTGAATAATAAAAATGTTGTGTCGCTATATATATTACTGAAAATGACTTACGAAAATCGTTGCGCAATTTTCAAAAAGTATAGATCACACTTCTGAAACAGAAATAAAAAAATGTTTAAATTAGTTTATATATTTATTTGCGGCTCTGAGATAAATATATTACATATATCTTTTCTCTGTGTGTATGAGTGAATCAGATTTTTAGGTATAATTTTTACTATACTCACAAAGTAAATCCTATATATACTTTCCGGAATTTCTGGTAATTTTTGCTTCGGAAATATAGTAAAAAATACTACATCCGGATAGTAAACTTCACTATATATTTCAGAAGTATATATAATTTTTTCCATTTCCAAAACAAAAATTGCAGAAGTTCCGAACAGTTTGAGTTTTACTCTGAAAGTATAGTAAAAATTACTTTATAATTTTTATCCATAGAAATATTGACAACTAACGCGGTAATGGTACCCAGTAGTCAATTTTTGATAGGGATTATTGTAATCCAATTACAGAAATGCTTATATACATAGATGAGGCGAAATTTTTTTTGATAATCAATTTACAAGCAAATCGGTGCTTGGCATGGAAAATATTTAAAGTATTCAAACTATCGTGACGTTTATCTTTCGATTTGGCATTGTGATTAACAAAAAAAGAAAAAGAAAAAAAAGGAAGGAAACTGCGCGGTGACATGATGGGATGTCGGTACTTATTGAGGTTGTAACAGTACAAGATGGAAAGTGATCTTGATCATGCGGGGTATTAGGGCCCATATCCATGGAAGAGGGAGAGAATGGCAGTATATATATATATATAGTGACTATAGAGGGTTTCTTAGCGAATGGCAGAATGGCGTGCCAGGCAGCACAAGAAAGGCGGTCGGTCTCTCAGATCCTTGCAATTAATAAGAGCTTAATGGGGCCGCTTGTGGCCGATAGTGCTGCCTTCCAAGTCCGCCTGTCCCTTTCGACTCTTCCACCAGCTTATACCTTTTCTCTCAACCTCCCCTCTTTTTCTCTTTCTTTCTCTCTCTCTCTCTCTCTCCTTCCCACATTTTCTATCTTTCCCTGTCTCCTTACTCCTTTCGTCGAAATGATCCAACGACAAAAACAGTGGACCAAACCGTAAAACATTTCGCGTCTGCTCGCCGCGAGGTGCCTCGAAACACATCCGCAAAAAGGGCCGATCGGACACAGACGAACATAGGGCTACACTTGACACTTAATGGGATTTTCGATCATATTAAAACTCGAATCCTTATTCACTTCTTATTTCACTCTCTTTAAAAACCATTCTTTTCTTTATTTCTCTCTTTAACATTCCACGCTCTTTCTGAAAATGGAATTTTATTCATATTCGAAAATTTAATAAAAACAAATATTGCACAAAATTTCAGTAAAATTGAAATAGTTACTTCTTATATATATGTAAATAGGGAACATATTTATATTCTTCGGGGGGGTTTTTTTTTATACGATACATCCATATATATAGAACGGAATGCTAATTATTTCATGTAGAGAGGGCAATTGAATTCACTTTATTTACAATTATTTCAAAAATTTAAATTTTCAATTTAAATGTATAGTAAAAATTTGCAGAAACACATTGAAATGCTGTTTACAGAAAAGTTAAAGTATTGTTGAATAAATAAGTATAATAAAAATTGAAGTAATCCTAAATAATTTTTAATAAGATTGATATATATTTACTGTACTATTTTTACTAAATTTTACTATAATAATTTTAATGTCAATAATTGCGAAAATTTAATTTTTATACTGTAAAAAAATTTTGACATTTGGGATTTTTTTTATTTCATTTTTTTTGTGTTTTACACAAAGGAATAAAATTATAGTATGTGAGTGTGTGCGTGTGTAATAAAATGCAGTGCACTACTTGCATTTACACCACGCCCCCTCGTGATTGGAGACCACTCCCATTTAGCTTTATAGTGCTGCATCAACACGCCTCTTCTCGCGATACTCACGCGATATCACGTGACACGTCCCTGACTTTATATACATGACCTCGAGTTCAATTATTATATTCTGCATATATCATTCACTTTCATGAAGAGAGAGAGGGAGAGAGAGAGAGAGAGAGAGAGTGTGTCCTCTATATAAAAATTAATCCTCTCTTAAATAGAGATCCGATCAAAATTAATTAAATTTGAAAACCATTTTAAACAAACTAAATCTTTAACTAATAAAATTAATTTTAATTTAATTTATTAACATTAACTAACATTAACTAATTTTTTAAATTACTAAATTAATTAAATTATAGAAATTAATTTAAATGCGGGTTGTCTTTATATTTGAATTAGTGAGAATTCTTTCTCTAATTTTCAGTAAAATACACGGAAAAAAATTAATTGCTTACAGATGCTAACTGATGTTTGCTATCGGATCTCTCAAAATTAGTAACCACAGCTAAATTTTTTGCTATGACAACGAAAAAGTTTGCTGTGATAACAATAATATCCTAATTTTGAAAAATTTACTGTCACAGCAAACTTTTTTGTCTCCACAGCAAATTTGTTCGCTCTCCCTATATTATGGCTAACGTAATTTGATGTTACAGGAAATAGTTCGCTGCCACATCAAACTTTTTCTATTCGTGTATTCCCAAATAACACACGGAGAAAAAGAAATTGCTTACAAATGCTAACTGATGTTTGCTATCGGATCTATCAAGATTAGTAACCACAGCTAAATTTTTTGCTATAACAACGAAAAAGTTTGCTGTGATAAATAAAAGCAGTCTTGATTTTTAAAAATTTACTGTCACAGCAAAATTTTTTTGCCCCCACAGCAAATTGTTCACTGTTCCTATAATAGCTAACATAATTTGATGTGTCAACAAATAATTCGTTGTCACAACATGATCTGCCTTAAGTTGCAATATTCAGGCAATATTGCAATGATATTGCTTTGCGTAAGATTAAATACACGCATAGAAAACATTTGCTGTGGCAGCGAATTATTTGCTGTCACATCAAATTACGTTAGCTAATATATAGGGACAGCGAACATAAATTTGCTGTGCGGTCAAAAAAGATTGCTGTGACACTAAAATCTTTAAAATTAAGCCTGATATTATTTATCATAGTAAACTTTTTTGTTGTCATAGCAAAAAAATTTAGCTGTGATTACTATAATTTTGATAGATTCGATTTTAGTGAAATAAATGACTAAAAATTCGTAGACATTTTCACTAATTTAATTTAGTAAATAAATTCCTTCTAATTTAAATTTTTAATTTTTAAAAGAAAAAACAAATTTTTCAAAGTGTTAAATAAAGATTTAGAGCGATTAACATATATATGTATAGTAAAATTTGAGCAGTGTTGAGAAACTATGCGGCGCAATGGCTCGGTGTTCCTTGCCGCAGAGAGGCTTCCAAAATCGATACTAGAGAACCTCTCCCTTTTACCCATACCTCTCGATGTCACTGATTCAACCCTGGCAGCCATTTCTTGGACTCTGTGCCAGAATATACATCCCCTTCAAACTGCCAGTTACACCCCAACTTGCTCATCATTCTCCCTCAACACTTACGCCCTTTTTTTTTTCATATTATTAACTTTCAACAAATGGACGATGAAAAAATTTTTATTAATATCTTAGCTATAATTTTACTATTTAAATTTATTTTCACAAAATGTATTCAATTTTTTATATTTAAATAAATTATTTCTATTGCTACATTTTTTTTCTCAAAAAATATATCAATTATTCTACAAAAAAAAAATTTTAAGAAATAATTTATCTGAGATATAAATAATATATTTATTCAATAATAATTTTTTATTATTACAAATAAAAATATAGTTAATAATTATTCAAAATTCTTCTCCCTGTTTTTTTGGTACGAAAAAACTATCTAATAGTTTATATCAAGACAGAAAAATTGTTTAATGGCTAAAGTGAAAAATTCCAAATATAGTCAGACACAGTTTTCTCTTATTTCAATTTATAACTGCAATTAAATTACACGAATAAATAAAAAAGGTTCAACATCAATTAAGCAATTTGTTATAATAATTAAACACGAATTTGTGGATTTTTAGCATTAAGAAAAAAAAATCATTATCTATAGACATCAAGTAAAACAAGTTACAGGTATTTGTAGAAGTATATACGCACGTTTCACCCCGAAAAGCCTATATGTATAATTATTTAAATCAACTTGTGTGAAACGTCGATTTGTTGTGACACGACTTGACTATAGATGACTAATTAGTAAAAACAAGATATATATAATACTAATTAACAAAAAATAGTTGTAAATAATAACCAAAAATGGTTGGGAAGTTTTTTCCAAGTTTCTTTCTTTCTTTTTTTTTTATCGCAAATCGTTCATAATAAATAAAGTTAACACCTGTTGAGTAATTTCTTGAAAAAAGAAGAAAAAAAAAACTAAATACCTTTCAAATCAAGAAATCACTTTTCCTTGATTCGCAAATTATGGAGAATCAGGAAAGTTTTCGTGTGTATATATATGTATATGTGAGAAATTCTTTCGGGAAAATATAGTAAACATTTGACTTTGCTATATGTATATATATAAATATACACGCACTAAAGTACAACTCAATTGGCGCTCTCTGAGCTACTGTTTTAAATGGTAAAATACTCGTTGTGCGTCTATATACTCTTTTGCTCACTCATATTATATATAATATACTTTTGGTGTATAATTTAGCGCACGAAGCGCTTTCATGACAGAGTGGACACAACGAGAGTTAGGACCAATTTAGGAGATGCTTTCGAGAGCGTTTAACACGCGTGCTTCGATTCGCGATGTATAGAATGAGAGTCGATTCGCGGTCAAGCCAACCAAACGAGTTTTCAAGTATTTACTTAAAGGAATGCCGCCATAGCATTTGTTTCAATTCGCGGTATGTACTTACATTTTGTTCCTTGCACACCATTTTTTAAATTCGACTTACTGAAATTATTATATATAGGTACTTAGGAGTAAAGATTTTTATTTTTCAAAATGAGTGAGAAAAAAAAATTTTTAATAGAAAAAAAGTATTTTTTTTCCTGCACTTACCGTCAACCAAATATTTACCGTGGAT